GCCAAAACCAACAGTCCTCCATCGCATATCTGCAAGGGTGTCAGTCCAACACATTGTTGTCTTTAGTTCAGATTTATTCCACTCTGTACAGATGGAGGGAAACACTGAGAGAGGGGAAATACAGTATGAAGGGGGGAGGCTGAGATGTATTTTGAATCAGGTTCAATACTGTAAGTGATTTAAGTTTTTCAGGACCAGTTTACAGGTACACACACATCTCGCATCTCTGTACTTTTTTTTTTATCAGATAAATCCTTTTACTGGCAGATTTTTAAAGCCTGTTCAACATATAACAGTTTAGAAAAGAAAAAAAATACTATATATAGTTTTCTTTTCCATGGAGAGGCATTCCATGTTGTTTAATAACAGAACTACAGCCTCAAGTAGGCAAATGTACACTACAAAAAGGGCATTCATACTCAACTTCAGGTTGTAGTAAGTAAAAGTCTCTTCATTGTGGTCAATTGGCACTAGTTCATATTGCAGTGGTGTGGAACAGTCAAGATAAGTGGTATAATAAAGTCCCGGCAGGCTGCTGACACAGACCCACAGTACTTGTATCTATATATTATTCTTAAAGTTCTTTGGCTCAGCTGTTTTTTGCCTCCGTCTGCAAAGCTTCTACCTGAGTGAGTGATGTGAGTGAAAAATAGCAGAGATGTTTTCCCTTTCACCATATCGCTGAAGTCTTTGCATCTGTCAATCAAAATCCAGTAGTGAATAGTACTATACAATCCAGGTGTGATATTATGAAACACTGTGGTAACACTAACAATCCCTATGATAAAAAAAATGGACTTTTACCAGGTTGTGAAGGGCCTTATAATCAATTGGGTAATAAATGATCATTATCAAAGATTCACTGAAAGAAAATAGTTTGAATCGTCAGATTTAAACCACATATGGAAAACCTTTATTTCACTTTTCTTCAAATTCACAGTTTCGTATTGGTCAAATCTTCAGACTAACAGTACGTGCCATCTCTACACAGTCTGACGGGCTGCAGGATGAGATCGGGGAGCAGAACAAAACATTTTACCACAGAAAATTATATATTTTTTTGCTGATGTTTCTCCATTTTTTTTTGTGAATTTACTGAATAATTTTACCTTTTCAGTCTTCTAGAAATTATTAGAAGAGTAAAAAAAAATACTCTCCGGATGACCTGATTATTAATAAACATAGCTTCTTTTTGGAGAGTCACAAGTTAAACAAGGTGGCAACCACTGGAATATATAGAGAGGATATGCGTCTGGGAATTCCTCTTGACAAGCCTCTCTGACTGCATCCTGAGTAATGCAACATGACTTGATGGTTGGAGCAACAATAGTCCAAGCAGCTCTCTCCTTGAGAAGTCCTCTTCTACTGTACTGACTCCTCAGGATCTGATCTGAATGAATAAAACACTTTATTGCTTTGTTACGGTTGCTTAGCGCACAGTTAGGAAAGAGGAAGTAAATAAGTCAAAAAGTAAAACTACTATACAAATAATAATAAAATAAACGCTCTAATGCCAAAGCCCCCTGTTGATGAATTTTCCCTCTTAGTCTCAGCTTCATTCACTGTGAGCAAGTCTTTGTGCTTTGTCATCTCACAGATGGAAATCTGTGGTTGCAGATGTCTGAGCAAAACTCAGTGTAACTATTTGTCTCGTGATGATGGATGACTACTTGAGCACACAGTGGTTCATTTTTAGGCTGGTGACAATTAATTAAATGTCAAATCTCAAAGCCCTTGTCATTGAGATGATCTTCCCTGAAATTCTTCATTCATTGTAGGAGTGACAGTTTGTTTTCTGGCTGCCAAATGGCCCACTTTCTGCTGCCGCCCCAAACTGAGCAGCATCTTTAACCCCCAACCTCTTTCTTTCACTTCTCCCCGCAGGGTCAAAAGGTCATAGATGTGCACTCACAGCTCTGCTCAGGGTCAACTGACATCACAAAGAGCATGCAGTTCGCTCCACAGTTTAACCAAACCCCCCCCCCCTTCACCACCACAACCAGTTCAAGCCTCCCTTGCAGACTAGGTGCTTATCAAAGAGTTCATTCACACACCTCAGCACAGTTTGAGACTCGGAGAGGAACGTGGTGATTTACTGGCCCTGTGTGCCACTCTAAGATTGTGCAGCGTTCGACTTAGCGCTAAGAAAGATGCTTGGTTCTTCACCTTCCCGCAGACCGCAGCCCGAGGCAGCGCCACACGCCCAGGTCTGCGTTCCTGTGTGTTAAAAACAACACCGAGACCGCCACTCTGACTCCCAGAGCAGCAGCGGCAGCACCCTCAACCTACGTCTCAGTACCCAACACGTCACGCTTAAATGACTGGCCGACGTAACAGCCTTTACATGCAAGCACTTTCACTCTCCCCACAAATCCCTGAACATGATAGACATGGAACGCAAAGCAAGCATTTTTATGAATATGCTTCTGTGTGCAGCTGTCACAGTGCTCAAAAACACTTCAGTCTCTGGGTTTGTGTTAGTTTTGAAAAAATAGCTCTGTCAGTAAACCCCTCTTTAAACCTTCATGCATTTAATTTAAGTTTTGTCAAAGTTTTCCAATGTGGAGGAGGATTTTGAAGGCGTTTAAAGATGTATTCACCCTCTGAATCAGCTTCGATGTGTTGATAAGGTGCTCCTCACCGCTGGGGAGAAGATGAGAAAGTTAAAACGGCTTTAACCCTAAGGTTTTTTTTTTTTAGCTTTGGCTTAATTCATTCATTGTTTGGAGTCCCACATGACCCACTGCTGTGTGAAAACAATAAGTAATGTAGTGGTAACCCCATCTCTTTGCCATGAGCTGGGATAGCCAGTTTGCTGTGCATGAACTTTTGTTTGTCAAAAAGCCATTCAGAGACAAAGAAACGTGCAGTGTGTTAACCTACATGGTGATGGTGCTTATGGGGGTCAGTTGCATCCAATAACTCTCTGTTAGAACAAGAACAAGACTTCTGAACAGGGGGGGTAATCAACTTCAAAATACTCTCAACACGAAATAGATGGATATGAATACAGATATGAACATCCATTGTATTAAACCATGTTTTCAAATCAGTTTCATTGAAATTTTCGTTAAACTAGAGAAAGTTGTGAAGTGTCAAGGTGATTAAAACAGTATTAAATGATTTTTTTGAGACCTGTTAAAGAGGACATGTGTTCTTTAGAAACCAAAATGGAACATTAGGAATTAGTAGGGTAAAAAAAAAAACTTCCCATGGTGCACTAGGAGCATCGACCCGAGCATGGGGGTGACCCAGAAACATCTACATTTTCTCCAACTCCAACCTCGACACCTTTATACTGACTCTCTGTAGTGAATATAGCAGGATACTGGGCTGGGAAATAATTACTCTCTTCATCCTATTATATTCTCAGTAGTGAAAGATGACAGTAGATTCATTAAGTATATGTGAATCTTTCTACTGAGATGCCTTAAATCACATCAAGCACACACGCTTTTATCTCAAAGTCATCATGGTTATTAGTCTCAGGTTTGGGCCATCAATAAATCTTTTAAAGCTTTCTGAGGTAAATACTAGAGAAGATAATCCCACTGCTGCTTCAATCCCATCCTCAGGTCATCAAGTGATTTATTGCTATGCTGAATTTGAGCACCTGTGTTCTGTAAATATCATTATCTCAACTGTATAATTAAGACTGTAATTCCACTCCTCTACATCTCTTGTGCATTGAAGTGGGTGTTGTCGACAACTGCATTTCAGTAGCGTCTACTGTAATGTACGTTTGGGAGGGGGGTTTGGAGAGAGCAGGGTGTGTTTGGGGTCTGTTGTACAGTAATTGGGTGTAAAACAGGTGGCGCACTGTTGACACTGGAGAGAAGCATGTGAAAAATGTGCTGCTGCCATGCAATCACAAAAGGAAAAGGCTGGCAGTTGACTTAGACATTTAATCACTGTGTTGGGTGATAAGTAGAGGATCAAACGGAGGCACGGAAAGCCTAGAATAACAGGGAGAGCCACCTAAAGCTCCACAGAGGGATTCCTGGTGGAGCCAGGCCAAGTGCTCTGACAGAGCTGCTAGCTTCTTATCACACTGGCTTTGTGGTATAGAGATATAAGTGAAAGGGAAGCAAAGGATTCAGGATGGATTCATGTACAAATAATACTCTTATTATCTTCTGGATTTCATATTTTCTTCTTATCTGCGTGGGTCATGCATTTCTTTTTTAGTATTATAGGCTCCCCAAAGTGTGGTTTCAACCTACAGGCAGAACACGTGATGGCAATATAATAGGAAGTTCACTGGGTCAATTTATGCCAAAAAAATACATTAGAAAAAAAAAAAAAAATCAGCAACCAATGTGTGTTACATCTGAACTAAATGTCCATTACTGGCATGAAGATAGACCAGTGGACAGCACAGCACATCAGCCCTCAGATGTTTTATCAAAACAAGAAAAGAGCTGAGTGTCTCTGAGCTGAGCACACTGGAAGAATGACTCTGTTGTTCTGGGGTGATAAAGACGAGTTACTTGATACACTTCATGTCTCCACAGAGAACTTCATGCATCGACTTAAAACGTTGAGACACTTGATTTGCCATTCGAAAAATCAACATCGCGTGTGTTTATGTGTTCATGAGACACTACAGATGATCCGGTGAGCGCACAGTGTGCCACAGACGGATCCAGTTACCAACTTTTCGCCGACACCGGGGCCACGTGACTCAGGTCCTCCTCATTTTAAAAAGAGGCTGCTGCCTCCCCTGTGATTCCCTCCAGAGCTTCAGAGAGGTGGTAAATGCTTCCCTTGTGCCGGCTGACCGACTTTCGCACCTTTTGCACCTTCTGTGTCAGAGGAAGAAGCAAGACACGAGAGGGCAGCGCCACAAAGTGAGTGAGTTTGGCCAATCTGCTGATGGTGCTGCTGGACCTTCTCTCTCTCTCTCTCTCTCTCTCTCACTCTCTCTCTTTTCATAAGTTGGTGTGCATCCTGCAAAGCAGCACAATCGGTGTCTCCCGCCTTTGATCTGCCGGCCAAGGATGGCACTGGACCACTGGAGCGCATTTCGCGCCTCCGTTTTACTGCCTTGTGTGATAATCTGCAGTAACGTGCTATGTCCCGCCGGTGCCTATCTCTACAGCAACCGCTACGCAGGGTGAGTAAAGACTCCCATTCATTTCTGGGGCTCATGGGAGCCTGGGCGCACTAAACTGGGGTTCTCGTTCATGTTAACACAGCAGAGACTGAAGTGTTGTCTGCAGAGATCTTCACATCAAGAGACGGGTTTTATCTTATGTTGATAGTAAGAAGAGGGAAAGAACAAAGAAAGTCTTTACGTTCACCATCTTCTTCATCGTTTTGGGACATATTTCCTGTTTGAGACATAATAATAACGTTTTAAGTTTACTCCATAATCTTTCCAGACTGTTCTTGTTTTGTGATTGCATGTGGATAAGACTATGTGCAGAGAGGCGTTCAGATTGCTCACGATAGGCACAGATGACAGTGGGGATGCTTGCAGCAACAGTAGCCTGTCAAACTGCTCAGAGTAATAATTTCAGAAATTGTAGTTGTAAGATGGCAGCAAACTAGCAGCTGTCTTTGTTCAGCCACGTGTTTCTATAATTACCAGAAACAACAAATTTGTGAGCAGTCATTTTCAACAAAGAAAAATGCAGTCTGTCTATATGTTTATGAGGCTGAATGTGGGGCAAACACCTCTCCACCTAGACCCTAATCTTCAATGGGACCATCTGGCTGGACACCTATAGGAATTTGGTATATAAAGTATTTATGGTCTGTTTTTCAAAAGAGCTTTTGATGTAATTTAGCAGAGGCAGAGGGGAGACTACCTCTGCTGGAAACCCCCTCCTCGGCTGTCTCAAACAACATATATTTTGGATGTACTCCAAAAATTGCGTTATAGCTCACACCGCCTCTTGTTTGACACAGAAAGTCCTAATATGCAGTGCTGCGGGTGGGGGCCCGTTTCACTCGGAAAACGGGAGAGAGCAGGGAACCTTTAGTCTAAAAAAGATATTTAAAAGAGCATCTTGATATTATCGAGCACTGAGATTTGGAGTCTGAAAATGGAGAGAGGACGATTGTGCTGTAAAATATCAAAACACAACTGAGAGTCAACTTTTCGGTTTTGGAGGCCAGATTGTCTTAAAAACAAATTGCTTCCATCCCAGAGAGAGTCCTTCTGTGGGAATCAACAGACTGACAACTTAGAGACAGCTTTAGTGTAGAAAGCCCTGCAGCTGGTAGATGCAAAGCAAAAGGCCTCCGTCAGACCAGCTCCGCCACAAAAAAAAACAGTTTGTCATGTTGTCATCTCTAAAAGATGGAGAAAAAACAAAAAAATGGTACAATATGGATTACAGGGAAGCTTTGTGATGCCACGTTATTTTCTCTCTGTGTTTGGCCCCTGCAGTAAGTTCTGCTTTCTTACACCAGTGAAGCTTGATTGAAAATCTGTGAACACACACTCCTCTGATGTTTCAGACGCGGAGAAAATATTGTACTACAAAGTTTGTTTTTCAAGTTCGAAATCTGCCCACATCCACGGTACTGACTTCGCAGTACTTTGAATCATTTTAACCTCCAAAAAACTACTCACGGGCCTTGAGCGTTGCTGTTGCCATGGAAACGGAACAGTGCGTTGTGGTCACTGAAAATGGGGTGGCCGCTCGCGTTTGGGTGCCCTGGTCCTTTTGTTCCCCAGACCTCAGAGTGGCCTACTGCCACCTTTGTTTAGAGAGGCCCAGCTTCCTGTGTGACACATTGTAAAAAAAAAAAAAAAAGCACCGCTCTTTGAAAGGAGCAAAATGTGAGAGAGGAAGACACCATGGGAGAAAGAGAGAGAGCGAGACAGCAAAGCAGTCACAGACAGAACAGGGGGACAGACAGGTACCTGGGCGAACAAAGAGAGACTATAATTAAGAGGCTTTAATGAATTATTGGCAGCGTGTTCGCTTTAAGGTCAACCCCAGAAACTGTGCCCTCCAGAGTAAAAGCAGCACTATGTAAGATTCATGATGAGGATAAAGAGCGCCTTTGTTTTGTAGTAAGGCAATATAAAAGATGTGGTTTGTAAATTCAGTTTGAAGCACTCTCAAGCTTCTTCTGTCTGCTTCCAGTTTTTCTTTGAATTATCTGACAGGATTCACATGAGAAGAACAACAACAACAAGAAGGATTTTTTATATTGAATTACAACCAATTTTACCAACCCCCCCCCCCCCCCCCAAAAGTAAATGCTTAACTTATTCTGCACTTGATTAAAATACATTCTTGATTCTTGATTCACAAAATTGAATTAGGTAATCAAAATCAGCAAAGAGGCGATCTGACCACAGATGTTTAAACATCTTAAATCTCATTTAGTCAATGAGTTCTGGCAGACAAAACTAATCTAAGCATCAAACATCCGTCTATGGTTTTATCCAACAATTATCCAAGACATTGCACAGTGTCTTGCCTTTCACATTGTAGTGTTATATTCATAAATGATTTACTCCTTCTGGCTAGACTTTGTTTCTACCTGATAAACACCACAAAAAAAAAAAAACCCATAACATTAGATAAGGCATTGGCAAACACATTAAAGTGATTGAAAAGTCATATATATATATTAATTTTCCCACTTGAGAAAAAGGTTTGCTATATTAACAGGTGTTTTATACAATTTGCAGTACATATTTAATACGTGATTGATGTATTTGCAGAATGAAAATGCGAAACAGCTGCTGCTACTGTATCCACCAAAGAATAGTCCCAGGTGCTTTACCTGCAGAGCTGGAAACGATGAAATATAATCCTATAATGATGTCTCGCACAGATTGTTTGACTGGGGTTTGACCCTGTCATCTATAGGACTCTAAAAGAGGAACCACCCATTTCACCATCAAACATCTGCTATTATAAGTGTCACCTTCAATCAGCACAAAAAGGTGGTTGCATTACCTGTGACGCCGTGGCCCAGATGTTGTTTTTTTTTGTTTTTTTTTAAATGATGTGCACTTAGTGAAAATGCATCCAAGCCCTGTTACAGTGTATTTTAGTGGTGTAAAAAAAAGCCCTTCGGGGCGCTTTGATCTCAGCTGTAACCTGACACAGGTCTTGTTGTTTTTGCAGTGATCAAGTCTTCAGAATAACTCCCAGTAATGACGAGGAGGTCCAAGTGCTCAAGAAAATTCTGGCACATATGAAGGTTTGCATTTTTTTTTTTTTTCACACACACACACACACACACACACTCTCTTTCCTATATGTATTCTGCCGTATGATGTACTGTTGTTATTTTTTCTTCTAAATTTTCCTCGCTCACCAGCTCCGGACGGCTCTTTTTGTTCACACGAACACACACCAACGATCGACTGACCACATACATTCGACACAACACACACACACTCCTGCGATGATCTTTCTATATGTATTCTGCTGGATATTCTCGTAATACATGTGGTGTACTGTATTGTAGTTTAGGTCGTGAATCGCGAGTCAGTAAATTTCATACAGGTACGTCAGTGGTTTTGAATAACTTGACTTCAAAATCTATTTTTGTATTGACAGTATGTTCTCTTTTGTGAAATCGCCTAGATAAATCGGTTGTTATTACCTGGTAACTGCATCTCCAGCCGTAGTTTCCCTCCGTGGGTCTTTGTTCTATGCACACTGTGAGGGGATCTTCAACTGTTCCAGGGTTCACAACCGACGCACGAGTGTAGCGCATTGACAGTGGGTGGGCTCAATTGGGCGGGGTGGTGGGAGGGTTGGGTCTGAGGAGATAGGGGGGTTGGGTGTTTTGTGAGGGGGGGCGTGTTCGCATGTGACAGCAGGGCTGGGGACCAAGAGATAGGCAAAACAGTACAGCGAGACCACGAGCAGGTACCCGACAGCAGGTGTGGGTCATTCGTCACTGCTTTGTGCTACAGGTAAGTCTCGGCGATGTCCGGGCTATAGTCTCCAGTTCCTTAGTCGTGCTGTAGACTGACGATATTCTGGTTTCGTATGTATCTTCTCCTCAATCCAAGGGGCTGACGCCTGCATGCTGCCATCTCGTGCATTCTCCATAGTGTTCTTGAGCCAGTGAAGTATAGTTTCTCATTTCCATAGAAATAGATAAAATCATTGAGAGACACCGACAAATGACTCATCCGGATGGATTTTTTTTTTTTGATCGTTTTTCGCCGAGTTCCGCCATATCAAATCATAGTAAATTTGCCTGTGATTTGCGATTTCTGGTGCGTGTGTATAAAAGGTATCATCAGAAATGATTCCTATTATGTGAACCCGACGTTTGGTTTGTTTCTTTCAAAGTGATATCTTAACTTATTTAGGGTGGAAATCCTCACTTTAAGTAGCCCACGCCCAGCGAGGTGCTGTTCCTCAATTCGCATATCATTGTATGGGCGCTCCATAATTCGTTGTCAGAGACCGTGACACCTCCAGTCGTTTCCATATCATATGAGCTCTTCTTTCCATACTAGGCCAGAGCTCATAGTTGGGAGTAATTTAGTATCGCTGATTGTGACACCCATATAGAAAATTTTCATCTGCTCCATCTGACACTCTAGAATATGCTCCAAATAGCTCTTAGAGAGCATGTTATACCTTGTAGTAGCTCTCTTGCCTCACAATAGAGAGATTTTATCGAGTTTGGGCAAAGGTTGTGTTACTTAAAAGGCTTAAGAAGCATGATGCATTCTAAAAGACTGCCCTTTCAGTGACAAAGACAAAGAACTCTGTTGAATGAATTGATTGAAACAGCGGAAATTAAAAAAAAAATACAAAAAAAAAAAAACCCGCAGGGTCTCCTGTATCTGTCCAATCTGTCCTGTCCAGTTTAGAACGGTGCATTTTAGATGGCAAATTGTGCTTTTGCACAGATCAAAGCATATTTGTGAATAATTAGGTGTGATAATCTGTGTGATAATATTTCCAGCAATAAACTAATGAATAGTGGATCAAAAGACGATAGAGAAGAGAGAGAGGCAGAACTGAAAAGGGCAGCCGTGCATGTCATTGACTTTGTGTAAATCATAAATTCATCAGTCTACATATTTGGAAGACAGTCTGACTTTAGAATTTTTTTTTCTTTTTTGTGGAGTATTATATTTGAATAAAGTAAATGATGTCGGGTGATTAACTTCATGTCTAAGAAACATAATGTGCTATGCCTCAATCTGGAAAAATTAATCTGTTTTGATACTGACGCAGATTCTCCAAGCTTTTGATATACCTACACCACCCAGTCAAGCAGAGTTAAAATTTATCAGCCTACTCTACATGACAAATCAATTAAAAATTTCCAGAAACTGAACTTTTTTAATTTCAATAGTATTAGGGTAGAGTATGTTGTATCATTTTCCCCATTCATATTTCAATACATAATAAAATAGGACACGCAGCAATGAGGGGCTGTAGACTAGCTACGTTGCTTGGATTTGGGGATTTTCCGGAACCTCCCGTCACGGGTTTCGGCCATATAAGTAGCGCAGTAATTTACCATACAAGAGAACACGCAGAAGGTGGAGCAATTTTTATAGTTTGACGATTCTGGTTCTATTTTTTTACACGTTCGATGTATTTGAAATTCTTATTTATGGCAGTAGCTGGACGAAAGGCCTTTGCAGGACTCAGAGAGTCAGTTCAATCTTATATGAAATAAAACCACTTATTATTAATCACGGAAAAAAAATATTGCATTTTATAAGCACAGCGATCGCTACCTTGCTAGTTTGTCGAGCTGTTCAACTGCATGTCACAGTAATTTTACTGTTAACTGGGTGTCGAGAATTCTCATTAATTTTAGTGAGGATGCCGCATTTTTACTGGGTAGTGACTTTAAGACTCATATAGAGAAAGAACAAACAGAGACAAAAATTACATTTTAAGTTTAATTAGTCTCGTTGAAGAGATACAGCAGCCTTTGTATTCAGTTGTCACAACCAAGTCTTGCTCTAAATTGTAGATTGCACAACAGCTCATTTGAATAATTAGTCCCTTAAAAGTTTGCATCCATAATTACTGAGCATCTAAACTTAAGTAATAAAAAACATTTTATAAAGTTTGTTTCGGAAGTGAATTGTGTGAAGCACTCATGTTGCACCCGTAACTGCCCCGACGCGGGCTCACCCACTGAGGCGGTGTGGTCAGTTTCAGCTTGGAACGTGCCATATCATGTAAGGAATCTGTCCAGGTTCAGGCTCAATGGTTCTCAGGACCATACACGTCTTGAGCAGGGGGAGAAGCGAGGACAGTAAGAGCGACAAAAGAGACCTCAGTGAAATGTTTATGACTTGACGGATTGAAGGGGAGAACCGGGCGGAGAGGCCCAGGTGCTGCCGGTTCAGAGATCTGGCCTGGCCAGTTTCACCATGGTATGGAAGTGACGGGCGGACACGATGCTACCGAGGCAGACCAAGGGCAGTGGCAGAATTGCGACTGTTTGGACAGCTGTGGACATGGTAGTATATGCCCGAGTCGCTTAGGACACAATGGCTGCTAGTGTCTTCAAGTGCCAGAGGTTCGGGAAGTTTTCAGCCGTCAGCACGCAGGCAAAGAGGGTCAAGTCCATAAATAACTACTAGTCCGTACACTAAAAATGCAAAAAAAGAAATATAGAATCAACGATCCAAATAGTCGAAATGACAAATACATGACATTTCTTCAAGGTAAAAAAAAAATTTTTTGGCTGACACTCAATGGGCTGATTGAACTTTAACATTTTACCTGGTTCCTAGTGGAACAGTATTTTCCCATTGCCGATGAAAAAATCCTTTTTGCTTTCTAGATAAGACTAGATTGCAAGAACTAAAATGGTAAATAGCATGTGACGCGCTATAAAAGCCACCACTGATTGAAACAGAGTCCATGTACATAAATGACCTTGCATGAACAGACTACAGTGTTATACAGTGGAACCTTGCTATAGTCCTGGACACACTGTGGTGAGCAGCAGCCGCAGGAGATGATACCCGACCTGTCACTAAGCTATCTCCCTATCACAGATAGAGGTGATTTCTAACAAAAAGGTAAGTAATCACTTTGGTAGCGGCGGTTTCGCCGACTGCTCACGCAAGCATCGTTTGTTGAGTCTGTCCTAAAGAAATGGGACACCTCAAGTTAGATGTTTTGCTTCTGTTAATTCCAACGTCAGCAACGATTTGTAATGATTAGAAAATGATTTCCTTACAGCCCGGGGTGCTTTTCATCAGATTGTTTTTGGGTTTATTCTGACAATTACCACGTGCAGAAATCTAAATATGCACAGTTTATTATTAACACGTCGGGCATAATGGAGAAAGTTCTCGTTCGCACTAGATTTAAGTTGAGAGCCTCAGGCTCGTTGAATTGTTATTAGTTGTTGAAAAATATTAGCTAATTTGTAATAAATGTCATTAATGTTAGCTTTATGGAAATTAAGTCCATGCTAGCTGTTGCAAAGTTAAAGGCGTTATCTGTTTCAGCTAGGTGCCTGCAACTCGGACATCAATAGAAATTTTTCTAATGGTCCCTACGGTTTGTTTGATGGGGCAGCTGACCGGAAATACAGTGACTGTCGTCTGTCTCTTAGCTCATGATTTTGTTTGAATATTGTGGTTAGAACTGCTCCAACGCCAAGGATTAATATCTTGGGAAACTCAGATGGTGCTAATTATCTTATGCGAAAAGCACCGATGGCTGCTTGTCTCATTGCTTTGGCATATGAATTATTCCATGATTACTATTGCGGGTATTAATGTGGGAGCGAGGAATTTTTCATTCAAGGTTTTGTGCAGCATTTTGTTATTCGCTATAGATGCTAAATCAAACCCGTGCAGGCTGTCTCCTCTTGAGCAGGAGGAGACAGCCCTTAACTTAACATATTATATTTAGACTGAGCTATCAGGATCTTTATAGAATAAACATCGTGAATTTGCGCTCAAGTCGGGTGAAAATATACTCCTGTACTCATTCGAATCTTGACCTATGACTCCATGTTTTCACAAAGTCCTTGCTACAAGCTTGTTAAGAGGACGTTAGTTTGTTAAGTTTTGCGACTTAAGCCAACACTGAGCTGTCTTCCTATTTAGTTTCCGAGTATAAGTTTGGTTAAGGATTACAGCAACTGGCCGCTAGCTGTCGCGTCATATTTCAAATATTTCTTCCGTGAAATTTGCACTAAGGTAGATGTGGAATTTTAAGGTTAAGATTTTCCAAACTGTT